CCCTCTCTCTCTCTCTGTTTCTAAACCGACCAGCTTAATACTTCTTTTCTATTCCCTTGCTCCGATGCATTTGCAAACAAAAATACTACATTGTACTACCACAAAAACTAATCATACAGTATACAGAATCAACGGGGCAAGACACAACTGAAAGGGTTTGTGGAGTATTTGTCCGACAGTGAAGCTGTATGAAGTTCACAAAGGTAGAATGGCATCATTACACGGTATATAAAATATTAAATTATTGTTATCCTTGTGGAGCGAAGCCGTTTGGGCGTAAGGTCCACAAGAGAGAAGCCGTGTAGGATGTGATCTCAATTTTGAACGCAAAGGAATATCTTTTACGCACCTCACACACACACACACACACACACACACACACACACACACACACACGTACGCACCTCACACACACACGCTCACGTACGCACCTCACACACACACCCATACGTACGCACCTCACACACACACACGCACACACATAAACACACGCACACAAACACACATACACAGACAGACAAACACACATACGTTCACACAGCCAGACAGGCACACTCACGCATCACTCACTCTCTTGCTGACTTGCTGCATTCGAAGGTTCATCTCCCAGACTCAAACTCAAACACTCTCATACGAAACAATTAATATCTATTGCTCATCCCACATCCTCTCACGTTCCATTTCTGCTTTCTCGTGCACGGCGTTATAGTATTATATCTCTCCCCACTCCCTCATGTTTTCGTTGCCGTTTATATCAGCTACCATTTCCCTTTTTCATGAGGATCATTGGTGGATGACATGTTTTTTTTTTTTCCTTCTGTTTTTTGTTGTTGTTTTTTCTTCTTTTTTTGATCGATTCCTCAGTTGTCACTCTCATGACAAAACGAAAAAAAAAAAGGCCATCCTGTAAGCTTCATGGTGGGCAACTACGTATGGTTTCGATTTTGCACACAGAAGACGTGAAACGTGAATTCAAATTTCATGTAGGTGAAATTTTGTCGAACATTACCGTCTTTCTGCTGGTACAGGTGGTGTCAACACAGCCCGTCTCCCGAATGACCTAAATGGTGTCGATGTCGGCGTAAAGATTCTGCAACTAATATTTTTCTCTCAAACCCGAGTCTGTGGTGTAGAGGTTTAGATTAGGCTCTTCGCTTTTGAACGGATGTGAGTTCGATTCCCACTTTGGGAAGTCTGTGTCGAGTGTGTCTGTCTTGTGTTGAGCTGCTGCATCCTAATGAGCCTAACTAATGAAGTGTTTCTATAACAAATCTGTCAACTGGATATGTCACACTCAGCCCAGGTTGGCCCTGGTAGGCATGATCGAAGCAGGAATAATAGGGTCCTCCCTTGTCAAGGCGGGTGACTGTGACGATTTATTATTGAGCTTCGCCCCCACCGTCACGTTGCTAGTTGCTGACTACCACTGGCCCTGTGTGGTGTAGGGTCAGAGCCAGAGCTGATATAATTTTGCCATGCATGATTCATTGGAGACTCACTATTGTATGACCTGCTGATGAAAATGGTCGGAACACAGGAGAATCAAATTATCATGCAGTTGCGAGTGCCCCTATATGCGACACGAAGTGAGGTATTCAAAAAAGATTGTTAGCTTTTGACGATTCCTCGAAATAGGCTGGCATGACTTTTTACTTTTCTTGAAACGGATTTCGCAAGACAATCATGTCATACTGACCTATCTAGCTGAAAGCTCGGCAGCGTCTGTGCCGTAGCGATTATATAAATTATAGGCCTATAGTCGCTCCGCTGTCGCAAGCTGGAGACTTAAGGTCATTTTTCAAGTACGGATAAATGTTCTCGAATATCTCCATCTTTCTGCTGGGATCTTGAATCCTTCTCAACCCAGGTTGGTCCCGAGAGAGAGAGAGAGAGAGAGAGAGAGAGAGAGAGAGAGAGAGAGAGAGAGAGAGAGAGAGAGAGAGAGAGAGAGAGAGAGAGGTGGGTCGTGGGTCGTGGTCTATAACATATTCCAGATACCCCTCTCCGAGATTTTTACCCCGGTTATTTCCCTTTATCTGTAGATTTTTAAAACTTCATTGGCCCTATATTATATTAATAAAGTAATACTTTCAATTAACGACTATAAAAGTGCGGTCAATAATTAATTCGTGGCGCAACTATCCTCAAATATATCTTTGTAACGGATGAATCAATGTCACCCATACTTTGCAAAGCAGTCTAAATTTGTCTTAATTTAATCATATTTTTCAACAACAATTGAGGCTAGACTAAAAACATTCTTCATAAATTATATAAGAAAATATACCACAAGCCTCCTTCACGCGGAAAATAGATGGATTGTTCACATCACTTATAATTCCCGCTTCTCACACATATTTTGTATACACGCATGTTACGCCTCACAGCTCACCAACGACATTTTTTAGTGGCCAAACTAGCCATAGTTATTAAGTAATTATTTTATAGTGAACACTTTTTCGCACTAAAAGTTCTCAAAACATGCGTTCAATTAAGATAATCTCGCTATTAGAAAATAATGACGGACTTGCTTTTAAAAGCTATATTCTTCCCAGCTGTAAACCTTTTAAAATCATAGAAACCACCCATAATAGAACCTAGGTCTTTACAAAAACATCGATCTGTTAAGACAAATTGATACAAGTCACTGTACAAAAGCTGGAGAGTTTATATTATATGTTCGATAGTTGAGGAGATGTTAATTGACAATATATCTAAGTTGCGCTACGAATTTTTGATCTCACTGTAAATGTCAGTTAACGTTGTGAGATGTTGTGCTACTGATTTTCTTTGTGTATCAACAATCTCTGTCAATCTATTCAGTTCACTGTAACACCGCGCTATAATGTACTATAAACCTATAATATAGCCATAAATCAAAAGCCCTTGAAATACACTGCCATCTAGTGTGCATTATTTATCTGCCTTTTTCTCAAGATACCATCTCGCATCACAGAGACACCCTATAAATGGTTCCCTGTTGAGCAAGAAAGGTTCTGGACAATGAGGATTGTAGCCCTTACGAATTAATTTTGAACCCTGAATCTCTAAAACTCCCAACTCAGCATGCAAACAACGAGGGTTTGCCAAGTGCTAAGTTGTGGATTTTGCATTCTGAGATTTGAGATCAGAGGTGTTCGTAATTAATACTCTCTGGTGTTCGATAGAGACATGGGGAATAACTCTTGAAAACCTCAGGGCAGGGGGTAGAAACAAAACAATAACAACAAAGGCCAGATGTCGTAAACGGTTAACAGTAACAGTATAAATTCAGATTGGTGTGTCGAAATGCCAAGGAGTTCTGTGCTGTGTAGACCTCAACGCCGCTTAGCCAACACAGCTTTCCCTACGAATATCTCTTGGAGGAATCCACAGAATTAATAAAGCAGGACGAGGGTTAATTATCAAGGAGGAGTGTCCACTAAGACTAAACTAAGTTCTGAGACGGATGATTAATTATATATGATATAAATAGATCTATCATTCATGATCATTCATGTTCTTTGGTCTGTGAAGTATGAAGGCATAGAAGAATATCTAGATCTAGATTCGGCGCTTTTTCGGTAGTTCCCACCCCCCTTATTTCAGGCTAGATCTAGATCTAGATTTAGATCTAAACGTTTGATGCGTGGCGAGCTAAGATATCAAACGTAACAACTCTGCAAGACATCAAATGGTAAAATCAGGGGGGCAAGCTCACTTCAAGCTTGTTTACGTAAACAGCTGACTGTGTTGGCGTGCCCTGCTAGCTGTTATATCGTCTGTTGATCTTTCTGTTTTACACTTGGATTGATTTTAAACATTCGTTTTTATTGTGTGTTTTAGTGTTTTTAAAAGATTAATTAACCTTCCTGTAGATCTATCAAAGCGGACTCCAAGAGGCCAGCGAGGCGCTCTCAATGTGCCTGTGTGTGTATAATGCGTGTTAATCATAATGTGATTGTATGCGTATGATGTATATGTGTGTGTGTGTGCGTGTGTGTGTTCTCGTGTGTTTATGGTGCTTTTACAAACGTATATATATGAATAGGTAGCGTAAACACGGCACCCGACCCGCGGCCTTCCGACCACGTGGTTTCGGTAAAATGGAGGTAATTCAGATCTCTATTTCTTTGCTCTTTTGCTATAAAACACAAAATGCTGAATACTTTGAAAAAGTTCAGATTTCCTTCTTTACAATAGGGTCCGAGTATTTGGAGCTAGAGAATTGCTGTGGAAAGCCGGAAGCCCCTCGTGGTCGGAATGCGAGGTCGGCCAGTTCAAAATTGACACCCATGCATTTGAATGCTTTGCAGAAAGATTGATCTTTTCATTGGTTGAGAACTGTAAAGCTTTGAGCGTGGTTTCCCGTGGTTTTTATTTAAATTGGCCTTTGACTTTTGGGTAGAAAACCTTGAAAAAAAGCGTTTAAAAGTTTTCAAAGATCATTTTTAAGACGAAATGTGTAAAATACCGGCTAAAAAAGGTACCAATAGAAAGAACAGTCTTTTTTTCTACTAAAATGAAGTCATCAACTTGGAATTATTTTTCATGAATCCTTCCGTGAAACTACCGGGAGCACTCACAGTATTGAGCCGACTCGTTCGCCGCGAGGGCAGGTGCGACGCCGACCAAGACAACATTTGGTGTTTTAAAAAAATAATGACAGATCATCGTGTTTGAGGCAATAAAATACTTAAATGTAATGATCTCACAGTCGTGAAAAAAATTAGGTTTCATTTCTTTGTTATAATGATTACTCATTTAATGTAGAGATGTTTGGCGCACTTAGTACAAGTACTCTTTTATTATCTGTCAAACATGGGGTTGCAGCCAGTTTGCGATTTCTGCAATATTTGATTATTATTTATGTTAAATTGAAACAGCTGCCATTCTCTTAAACATTGACTGAGAGGTAAAAGTATGGTACCAAATGTCTCAGGAGACCATTTAGGCCTTTCATATATGAAACAGATGAATTTGACACGCTGGTACTTTGAAAGTTGAGTGTCTGGTACCTAGTATTTAATGGCCATATTTTGTTGCATTTGACGTGAAGTCTATTCTCGTGAAAATTCTGTTTTTTTCCTAAAGTTTTATCTTAGTAAATGAATAGTTTTCGACTTCTGTATGTTACCTTGTAGTGGCATAGCCAAGATAACTGCTAAATTTCAAGTCTCTATCTCAATTTTAAAACCCCCATTGCGATGGAAATGTGTCCAGTTTCTCAACGTTAGAGGCCATTTTTTCCTTTCCGTATTTCCTCACCTCGCACAATTAAAAGTTCTGTATTTTTGTCAAATATAGTCATATTTACTTCATTCTTGTTTTAAATTGTAGGGAAAAGGTTATAGTTTTTTAAAATAATGTTAACTCAGTTTTGAAATTTCCTTCATATGACTGACATTGACCGGCAGGGACATATATATTTTATTATGACCCCTAAAAGTGTTGCAAATCAGTTATTTACAAGAAAATCTAAAACCTAAAATTTTACAATATAATACGTCCGCAGTTTTACTTTGAAGCGGAGGCAGCGAAACATAAATAATATAGAGACCCTGTGAGGTGAGGTTAATCAGCTGTGGACGCTAGCCTAGGAGGGTTAATTAACAAACATTTTTTAAACATTAGCCTAATTTTTTTTTCTTCTGATACAATGGATTTTTAGTGGTTTAAATTTAACCATTAAAATCTGGAAAAGCTATTAGAAACTTTTGGTTTCAATGTTTTTCTGTTTACAAGCTTGATCCCGTTGAAAAGTTCTTTTGCAAATGACGTTTTGAAACTGTGATTTTTAATTTTGATCGTTTTGTTTTGTTGTGTAATTCATGTTTAAAAATGGATGATTTTGCACTTTAAAAAAAAATGTATGTGAAAATTGTAACTAAAAAATGTCTTTAAATGCTCATATTTTTTTAATTTAAGATAATTTGATCCTTTTTTTTTCAATGTTTACAAACCCTGGAAAAATGAATTGAAATGTGTCTGAAATTGGCGGCGACACCACAAGATAAAACTTAAGGCCAATTTAATCAGTTGTGGACACTAGCCTAGGAGGGTTAATTAACAGCAGTTTTTAATTTTAATTGGTTTGGACTTCCTGCAGGAAATCACTGGCTGAGGATGTGCATCTATGGTGTGGTGGTTAGGCACTTTGCTGTTTCACGCAGGATACCCATGTTCGATTCCCGAGTGGGGAGAATTTTTATTGAGCATCTCTGTCTTTCTTCTAGGATGTTATTAACTCTGTCAATTAAGATTGGCTTTGACAGGCTGGGTCAGGCTGGATAGTGCACCACAATACACAGCACAGTTTTTTGCTTATTTTCACATTTAAAATAAAAGAGTCACCTCTTTGCTAGGTTGCTCTGTGTTGAGGTGTGATCGCTGAATGGAGTTAAAATTCTGCTTATATACTGGCTGAGCTGACCAGTTCGCCCAGTTCATACACATGTAAACATCATCACCTTTATTGTTATTAAAGTGTCTAGATATATAGTTGTTTGCGGGTGGTTGGCGGGTGCTCTGTTGTGGTTTGCTACTTTTTTCCTATCGAACGTCTATCGTCCTTATCACTCCTCCTTTTTTGTGTTTGTTACTCTCTTGTAACACTTCTATTATTCGGCACTTGTGTTGCAAGTGCTGTAAAACTCTTACTAAAACTATAGTTGTTTACTTCTGTTGTTATACAGTGACTTTTGAGATCAGATGCTTCCAAGATGCCAATAAGAAGGAGAGATGAAGCCAGACCAGGTACAAGCAGATCAGAAGACCACATTTCTTCTCTGTCCTCGATGCCTGGTCCCAGTCGGCAGCAGGATGGTAAAAATTAAATTCTTATAATCTAACACCCTGTTTGTAAAGAATATGAAGTTTTCTTCTGCTGACTACGGTACTCACAGTTAATTGTGTCACGACGCGGTGGAATCAGGCTCTCATTTTGGCATGTAGTTTTATTCGTATCATCTTAAAGCTTGTGTATTTGTCTTGCTTTGAATGAAAAAACTATTCCTTTATCTTGAATAGAAGTCGAAATATTTGCGAAAGAAGAAGATGGGGGGTCACCTGGTTTCAGAGGTAGAATTAGTGAGAAAATACCGGTTAAAGATGAGTTAATTCCTTATTTTGAGAGTCCATGGAAACTGAAAATGTACATTTTTTGGTGCCTTTAATCAAAGTTTTTCAGTAAAATCCACACAGAAATGTGTTCTTTAATTTTAATGGGCATGAAAGGTGTTGAGCCAAAAAATAGAAATTTCAATAAAAATTCACAAACCTGCAGATAAATTACAGTTTCTTCACTTTGATTATTTTAACGAGCGCTTGATTTCTCCATCATCATCATCAATGCCTTTCACCCCTGGCAGGGTATAAGCCACATACAAGCTCCTTCCATTTATCTCTGTCCTTAGCCATCCTTCCAAGCTCGTTCCAATTGAGCTTCATCTCTCTCATGTCCCTTTCTACGCATCTCCATGTTTCCCGTGGCCTACCCCTGCCTCATGCTCCTTGTGGGTTCCACTGCAGTGATTGTCTTGTGATGTTTCCGCTGGGCTTTCTTAAGGTGTGTCCACCACACATCAAAGACCTTCGTGTGAGGTGCCAGAAAGCGCTAAACGCTTTGAAAATTCTATCGCATCCGGAGTGGGGCGGGGACTCAAAACACCTTCTCCACTTGTACATCTCCCTTGTCCGGTCCAAGCTTGACTACGGTTGTCAAGTCTACGGATCGGCAAAACCACACATCTTAAAAATGCTAGACCCAGTACAAAACCAAGGACTCCGCCTCGCTCTGGGAGCTTTCTGCACTTCTCCGGTGGAGAGCCTCCAGGCTGAGGCCAACATACCACCACTCTCACTCAGACGCACACAACTCTCACTACAATATGCAATTAAACAGAGCTCAACACCGGAAAAATTCAGAGCACAACTGCATTTTTAAAACAAACCCTGAAACCATAAATAAATTCCAAAACAACGAAAAACTCATCAAACCCTTTGGCCTCAGAATGCTTGAGGACCTCAAAAACTTACACTTTTCCAAACAAGACATCCAACAATTTCTTTTCCCCGACCTCCCTCCATGGCACCTCACCAAGGCAAAAGTAGACTTACAGCTGACCACACACAACAAAGAAAGCACAAACACCAAAACTTTTAAAGAAGAATACAAAAAACCAATAGATAAATACCCCGGGGCGGAGCTCATCTTCACGGATGGCTCCAAAAAAGACTATGAAGTGGGCGCCGCAGCCCTATCTCCCAACAGTACACACCAGAGGAGACTCCATCCTGAAGCCTCCATTTTTTCTGCGGAGGCCACTGCCATTGACATGGCACTGGACTCCGCAGAAAATTCTCCAAACAAATCTTTCCTAATCCTTTCTGACTCTGTGTCTTGCATCACCTCACTCACAAACTACACACTCCTACATCGAAAAATAGTTAGGCTACCACAGAAAATTCACACACTATCCGAGACAGGAAAAAACATGTTCGCATGGATACCTAGCCATGTGGGCATCCGAGGAAACGGGCAGGTAGACGACCTGGCGAAGAAAGCCTCATCCCTTCTGCTGGGATCAACGACAAACACTCTCCCACAGACTGACTTTAGAAATAAAGTCAAAAAGTACATCTCCAGTCTGTGGGAGAGCCACTGGGAAAAACAGAAAAACAATAAACTGTATATTCTAAGACCCAAACTGGAACAGCGAAATCCTTCGGACCTCTCCAGAAGAGACGAAGTCATTTTTACTCGATTGTGCATCGGACACACGGCCCTGACCCGCAAATACCTCCTACAGGGAGATGAGAAGCCGTTCTGTGTCAGATGCCACACAGATTTTACCTTTAGACACATCTTAACCGAATGTCTAGACTTTGGAGAGATCCGAAGGAAATATTATAAATGCAAGAAATTGCAAGACATTTTTTCCGTCGTTGGTCCCAGCAGAATTTTGAATTTTATGAAGGCCATTGGCCTTTATGGCAACTTATAAAGTGAAATTGTACTATTTAAAATTTTTACGTTAACAAGAAAAAATTGTTTTAGATTGAAAAAATATATATATTTACACTGATTTTTAAATATTTTAATATTTTAAGATTCAACTACTGACCCGAGCCAGCCGTACAGTAAACTGTTGTGAAAAAAACTAACTTACTCATATAACCTTATGCAGTTGCGAGCGCCGTAAAACCCTATACTAAACAAAAACAAACAACTCATTGAAAGAAAAGCTTACCCCTCGGGGCGGTGCCACTGACTGAAGTGTGTTTAGGCCATTCCCAAAAGGGAACATTTCTCGTTCATGCACAGTAGAATTGTAAATGGGCTGATTCATTAATGTCTCGCTCATAACCGTGCCTATTTACGACAGAGAACTTCTGCTTTTTCTTTCCTAATCCTTACTATTATCATTTTCCTCTACTTCTTTTATATGTTTGTCACTCTCTTGTGACCCGCTATTTCCGGGTTGCCTTGAAAGTCGAAACTGACTTTGTGCTGTTGAAGCTAGAGAGGTGAGCAGAGTAAGCCTGATTCCCTGTAAAGATTTCTCTGTTGACATCCACCCCTTGGTGCTCATATGACCTTATGCAGCTGCGAGTGTTGTAAAACCTCTACTAAATTTTTAAAAAAAGAGCTTTTCATTTCGGTCAAAGTGTTTCTGCAGAAAGTTGGTTCTGAGAGATCTGGGGCAGGATGTTTAGTAGATACCAGTAGAAGATCCTTCCTGTCTTGTATGCTTGTGATGATTTTTTGTTGTTGTCTCAATATATAATTTTGTCTTCAACTAGTGCAGTTTATACATTAAAGTACAAATATGTTAAAAATTAAAAAGTGAAGTTGGTACAACTATACATTATTTTCCTCCCCCCCCCCCCACCCCCCAAAGACAATCCTCCTTCATATGATGAAGCAATGGCGATGTCCAGAGGAACAGTTGAGACAAACTTGGATGAAGAAGAGATTCCAAACCCTGAGGAAGAGGAAGGAATTGAAGGCCTTCTGGAGTATTATGAAAAACTTAAGTCACAAAAAGAAGCCAAGACAAGGCGTGCTCTCCAGTCAGGTAGTGGAGAGAAAAGTGATGGTAAGAGCGTTAACATACAATAGTGATGTTGCCTTTTTAAGGTTTTTTTTGTTCTTTTATAGAGTAAGGAGAAATTTGTAGTTGTACTTTACTGGGGTTGCACAGCAGTATTTTTCGAAGTACCAGATACACATTGTATTTAAACTGAATTACAAAAAGGCTGATAGGTTGAAAGCAAAAGTTGGCGTAAAACTCATTTTCACTTTTCTGCTCTATTGATGATTGTGCTTTCTCAATATTCATGTTTGTTAATTTGTTAGAAATTTTGTTAAGATTTACTCTAGGCATAACCCATACAGTAGCATTGTTGTTTGAGAAAATTAGTTTTTTTTCTGTATTGCAGATGGACTTGGAAGTTTTGGTGGTTAGTGCCCACACAATTGTCAGTAGAAAATACAGGAATTTTAAAGTCCTTTCTGGAGTAGACATATTCGTATGATACCCTGAAGGCTGTTTACTTTAAACTGAAATTATGAGAAATGAAGGATGATGTAAAGTTGATATGTGGATTTTGTTTTTCTGAAATATTAGTCATATTCTACCTCAAGTGAATTACCACAATTACTCGCCATGATTGGACTTCGTAGTGTTCCAAGGCTTGATGAATAAGCGTTACTGCTTTTGTTTAACATTTTCTAAAGTTACTCTCTTGCTGTACTTTGAAATGAGAATAGAAGGACTGCATGCAGATAAATTAAAACGACATGTTGGCCTTGCTGTTGACCCGTTGGTTAATGGGGGGAGAAATATTCAGTATTTTTTAAGGCAAAACGTTGAAAGATTTCTCTAAAGACTCACAATGCTTTTTCTTTCTTTCTTGTCTTTCTTTCTTTCCTTCCTTCCTTCCTTCCTTCCTTCCTTCCTTCCTTCCTTCCTTCCTTCCTTCCTTTCTTTCTTTCTTTCTTTCTTCCTTTCTTTCTTCCTTTCTTTCTTTCTTCCTTTCTTTCTTTCTTTCTTTCTTTCTTTCTTTCTTTCTTTCTTTCTTTCCTTCCTTCCTTCTTTTTTGCTTTCTCCTACTATCTCTTTGTCTTTCTTCCTTTCTTGGTTTGTTATTTTGCCTCTAGCTTTTCGCTCTGTAGTACTTCCGTCGAAACTAAATGCCTTCCATATTTATTGGTTGTAAACTATTTCAGAGGGTGAAAACTCAGACCCGGAGGAAAGGCTTCGACAGACTCGGGCGACGATGAGACGTAACCTCCAGAGTTATCGAGATGGGAGTAGTCCCAAGAGTGAAAGCGGTGATGGGATGGAAATGGTGAGAGACCTTGAAAAATTCATGACCCGTCTTAGTATCTCTTAGTACTGCCTTCTTTTCGGTTGTCCGGGATTTAGACTTGTTCCTTTTATGTATCTCTTTTACCAGATATGTATCTGCAATTGGTCAATGCAGCTCTGTCTAGGTGTTTTAAAATGAAATTCAAGGTTATGTTGATAGACTTGAAGTAGGCCAGTCACTGTCAGTTGAATTGAATGATTTAGTATAGCAGCCCCACTCATTTGAATTATTATTAGTGATCTTTAGAACTGTTGATAATCTCACTAGTGTCCCTCATATTTTTGGAAAACAGTAACACTATGGTAGAAAACCGGGACTATTCTAGAATACAAAAAAGTTTCAGTGTTGTAGGTTTTCTTCTAAAACTGTCTGTTTGGAATCCTTTAGGTCTTGAATTGTTGCCTTATGATCTAACTCATGATGAAGAAACTCATATCCTGTGTGTCATGATTTGCGAAAATGTAAAGAAACGAAAGAATGTCCAAACAAGTTCCCTGATGCCCTCACATTGCATGGCAACCTCTCTTACGTTACTGTTTTCCCATCAAAGTGATAATCTTTCTGTCGTTTTGGAGTCTAGACTCTTAAAAATTGGACCAAAACGCTGAAAACTTATGTTAATTTGCAGTTGGAAAATGTAAGCAAAAGCATTCAAACTACTGTAAAATTGTTGGTGTTGCAGTGTTAAAGAAGATTAAACCTACTTTCCTCATGGAATAAAAGGGATACACTTTACGCAAGAAGTCATCGTGTGTTGTCTATGTTGTCAAATTTTAGCAGCTCTATATAATATAAATATAAATAAATATACATATATATATTTATATTAAGCATCCTTCAATATGTTAACTTGAGGTTAGATGTATTTTGTAAAGATCTTTTGTGAAGTGAATTTGATTGTTAGAATGAAAATCACTTCAAAATTTTGGCAAGTACATAGTTTCTTGGTTTTCTCTGCTTTGCGACCCTCACTTCTATGACTTAAATTTGAACATTGTTAATTTGTGTTGTGTTTTCCATTTTTTTTTCACTACATAACCATTGTTATACGTGTTTTTCTGCAATTAAAGCAAACTTGAAATTGTGTTGGTTGGTGCCCCTGATGAGGCTCATGTCTTTTATCCATTTATCTATTTTGTTCACTTGTTTTGCTTTTGGTTTTATGTTTTTTGATTGGTTGACTTTATTTTTTAAAAATTTCCTCAGTATCTTCTTCTTTTGGTGTACTGTAGATTAGCTGTTATTTTATTATCTTTTGATGGAGGCTTTTCTCTCATCTGCTTTGATGAGCTGGGGATTTTCTCTTTGTTTTTGTATATGTGTTGCCCTAGCTTTACTTTTTTCTTTTCGTATTGTTCAGGCAGAAATACTCCAACTCAGTACTCATGTTTTGGAGTTATAGTGTCGGTTTGTTGATTGATTCTCTTCAAGTGGAGAGTTGTTTTGTTCTTAGAACTCTTCTCTCTTCTGATTGGTTAAGAAGATCTTGACAGCTATCCCAACTGTTTTCCAGTAAAGAGATTTTCCCCAAGGTATTGTCAGCTGTCTATTCAGCGCCATATTCAATTGCTCCCTTTTTTTTTACCCCACTAGTGCGATTTTCCATTCAAGTTAGTGTGCTAAAGAATCAATATTTTTGTAATTTTGTACATAGGCAGTTCCAAAAATATTCATTCTGTGGAGTATGGTGTCTGGTAATTGTATTGTTTCAGATGATGTCAGAAAATAGGACTACATACTGATCACAATGGAGTGGTTATATTCCAGGCACTGTTATTTTGAAAGAAAAACTGATGGAAGTTACAAAATCTTCATGGATGTGTCGGGAATTACGGGAATTAGAACCAAAATGAAGTTGCATAAGTGCAAGACTTCTCTTGTTTTACTTTTCTTAAGTTTTACTCTTCCTATACCAAACACTTATCTGTTGGTGGCTCAGATGTTGCCATTTTGATCAAACAGTAGTGGCTTAGTGTTTGAAAGAGGCTTGTCCCTGCTTTGAGCTTGATCTTCTTTCTCCACATGTATCCCATCGATAATGTGATATGTGTGTGACAGATGTAGAAACTTTCTCCATTGACTTATAATATGATTTACTTCTCAAAGAATATACTTTTCCAATAATATAGTAAGAAAGACATACTGCTTCAAGGTTCAGATTTTCAAAATTTATGTTGTCAAAAGCTCACTTCTTTAAGAAGTAGCAAAGAGCTAAGCAGATTGATAGAATATTGTACCTTGTTTTTTTGCCATTGGTTATTGCTTTTGAAATATGTCATGGTAAATCAGGATGATACTTACAAGAAATTATTTGTGCTATCAACTGTCATTAAATGTAAACTTTACCCTTTTTGTTTCGAGTCACATTGAAACGTTTTTGTTATTAAATGAAAGTATAACCCCTGTTATGCTCAAGGAAACAAAGCGTCAATGATTATATAAAGGAAGAAAAGGGAGCAGTGCCAGTAGTATGGTTATTTGAGTAGTAGACTGACAGAGAAATTCACAGAGATAACTAATATAGCCCTGCCTCGTAATGGCAGTGTCTGTGAAATACATACATATTTGGCTTGAAGAATTCAAGGGGTAAGGCAGCAAGATGTTTAAGAGAGTGTTTCCCAAGTGAATTGCATTTTCTACAAAAGGAGAATTATTTTGTTATGTTGGCCTGTCTAAAATATTTTTAAAAAAATAATCAGGAAGTACGGATTCCTCTTTTAAAACTGTTTATTTTTTGCACTGGTACGAGTTGTTCTGTTTCAAAACTTTATTCATGGTAAAATTATCTTGAAATAGATGTTTGCTTTTGTGAGAGCTACTTTTCCTGAATTTGGGTTTATGTTAGTTCATGTCATTGCGTAGTTGAAATTGATCCTTTTAAAAAATCTTTATGGGTATCAGTTGCTCTGAAGAGGTGATTTAGAACACTTTCCTTTGCTTGAGTGTTTGCTTAACTTTAAGTTTTTTGAGCCATTTGTTGCTGAATATACATTTCTTGCTTTTCAGTTCAACCGCTTTTTACTGTAAAAGTTGAAGTTCCTGTGGACCAAATTGTTAAGATAGTGTACTCAAAGAACTCAAATTTTGAAATTACTTTTGGATTTTTCCTGATCGGAAAATTAAAGCTGACATCTAGCAAGCTTACATTGAATGATTTTTGTCCCCAGTGGTGGGAATTCTTAATCAAACTCATCAATTATTATGGGCCTGCTAGTCTAGAAAATGTGTTTTCTTTTTCTGAAGCTTGGGTTCTTGCCCCATGTCTTACTTTGTGTCCCCTCCCTTTTTCCTCCAATACATAATACACACACACACACACACAGAGGCACCCATATGAACGAACATCTATACACATATTCACTTGCATACATAAACTCTCTCATATTTGCATAAACATCCGCACTATGCTCATATGCATGAGGATATGCACACGCATTCTTTTACACACTCTCTAACACAAATAAAATTTTACTCTTGTGCACACAAACATGGTAGAACACATGTACAATCGTAGGAACTGCCTCCATACACACATGCGTGAAAGGATGTATACTAAACACACAAATATAAGCACATACTTGCAAATAGGCACACACACCCGCAAATGCACATGAATAAATGTGGAAACAAATGTAATGCTAGTTATGAAATTCATTTGGGAAAAATAAAATTTGTGAACGGAGCATTTCCCTGAGTTAGCTTCTGCGTGTAGCTGGCTTAAAATCTCTATATGATAAAAAAAAAAAAGCTTGGCTTACATGGTTTTTGTCAAAATTATATTTGTTAAAACAGCTTGCTTTGTTCTCATTGCAACATGTCACTTAGAATTGTGCATATGTTTAAACCAATTTAGCAATATTAGTATGAACCCGTCGCTGTTCAGCTCAATAAAAGGCAATAGTATTTTGCACAAATATTGAAACAGTGCATCTGTCTCTTCATTCACATATGTTTTCTTGCTTATACTGAAGTTGGGTTTTCTTGTTAAAGTTTTTTAAAACCTCTAATATATCCTACTTGTTTGTGCTAACTTACTGAATCTAATTTTTTTATTGTGTGCATAGGTGTATGCTGTAGTGAGCACGATTTTCTGGTATTGGATAATGTGACACTACTCTTTCTGTCAAAAGGGATCCCTTAATATACTGCCATAAGTCAAATTGATCTCTAAGTGTTTGAAATGAAAAATTGTGTCAAGTATTTCTTTCAGTGATGAAACCACTTTTTTGTTTCTGTTCTTAGGTTTCTGTTACTTTTTTTCAAAAGCAGTGACATATTGGTATGCCATGATATTCAAGGGCACTTTCAAATGTACTTTTGTCGTGGGTTCAAATTTTGTAGTATTTATAACTTACAGCTTTGTTTTAAAAAAGAAATAATAGGCATATCAGTGGGTTGGGGGTATAGTACTGAAACAGCTGTTAGGGTGTGATCTTTGGTATACTAGTTTGAAAAGATGATTCAGTACAACTCTTGCACTATTGATGCCAGAAAATGATTGCAGACCTGTATTTGTTGTAGTTAGCCAGTAGTTACTAACCTATTTTGTGTCACTCTAACTGCCTTAATATTTTCATCCCAGCCCCACCTCATCTGTGCTGTGACAGAGTGTGTATAACTCAGGCCAACCCTCCTTACCACCCCTACCATCATTTCAGATATCTTTCCTGGATGATAGAGAAGATCAGAATGGTGCGCAGGCATTTCCTGATGAGAGCAGATCTAGTGGTCAACCTGCAGGCAACAATGTGTCTGCGGAGGACAATGGGACTGAGATAACCTTATCTTTTATCGACACTGAAGATGCCAGCTCCACGTTGCGTCGGCGGAGATCCTCACTTACAGGTGATGTACTGATTTCTGGTTACTGCTGATGTATCTAGATTAAACATTATTTTTTATAATAAGTGTTCATTTTTATCACAAAATAAATCTTTATTGTCCTGATGCACACAGGCACCCATGCATGCATGCACACACACTTATATGCACACACACGCACCTGCACACATTCCTACTCTCTCACACAACCTTTCTTCCACACACATATTACACATGCACACACAATTATATATGCTAACGCTCACAAACAAATCTTCAGTCACAAGCATGTGTGTGTGCGTGCGTGTGCGTGCCTGCGTGTGTGTGTGTGTGTGTGCGTGCATACGTGTGTGCGTGCATGCGAGGGTGTGTGTGTGTGTGTGTGGGACAAAACCAATGTGCCAGCACTTGTACAATAAAGATTTGTTTTATCTTAATGAAATGATTTTGCTTACTGCCAGTCTGTTATGAAAGTTTTGGGGTTGGCCACTATTACAGACAAGGAATATTAATCTGATTTTTGTTTCATTGGTTGAGATGATTGTGGTCCTGCTTAAACTCACCTGAGTTTGAGTAATTTTGTACCCAGCAACCATTGCAGCACCTAGCGGGATAGTTTTGGGGTATATTGAATCATCAACCGCGAAAAGACTATCATGATTTTGAAAATGCAACAAAAGAAAGAAAGAAATGCTCTCACAGAAAAAGTAAACTGCATCTGATTTGTTGGAATTGTGTTTATTTTGTTAATATTTTGCAATTGCAATGTGTGGGGGTTATGCAATTATCTTTTGTGCCCAATTTGTAATAAAATCATCTATTGCAATGCCGGGGTGACTGACTTAGTCCTTTACGGTTAAAAAAGTATTGCATATAACTTCACGAAATTTTTAATGAAACGAAACAGATGGGTCAACTGTTGGCTCAGCGCTTCTCATAACTTGTAACCAAAATAACCACAGAGATATCGATCGATAAAGCACATCCCATTAGTACATGGGATTCGGCCACTAGGGCGGTTGTGTGTCATGTGAATACACTGGAATAGGCTCAAGTGAGTTAATAAGTACAAGAAATTAACGATGATGGCCAGAGATGGTGCGACCTTTCGGTAAATAGATTAATATGATAAAGAGAACATAATCTAATGAAGATGATTAAATGTATGAAAGTTCATCCATCTAGTCTTTTGTCTGCCCGTCCATCTATTCATCCTCCTGACCAATCATCCAACAAACTATTGTATTGACAGTAACATGTACAGTTTTCAAACAATACGTGGTCACGCTTTACAATCATAGTTTGAATTTCTCTTTTAAAAGCTTTGATAATTGTGTGGTGTTTGTTGACTGAAACTTATTATGGGAAACAATGCAGCATTTTTTATTTTTTATTTCAGTAATAGGAGCTGAAAGAGTTCTGACATCTTGATGCATTTGTTGTCTAGGCAACTGCCACTGAAGATGGGGGATTACCTCATGTAGTAGCCTACAAATTTTATAGTTCTTGAAAATAATTTTAAAGCGAGTTTGTAGTTATAATGAATCTATGTAAAAAGTATATGTGCTTGTTTGTATGTATTTGGGGTTGGGTTGGAGTACCAGTTGTTTTGCTTTTAGAATGACTTAAACAGGAGTTTAATTTTTATTTTTGTAGATGAGTTTAACACCCGACTGGTTATAAGTACATCATATCGGAAGCTGGCTCTTATTCTGAACTCCCTGGTAATGGGACTGAGGACTTTTTATCCCCAAGGCTGCTACCCCCCGGGGCGATGCCACTGACTTAATGGTCTTTAGGCCATTCCCAAAGGGGGGACATTTCTCGTTCTAATGCACAGTAGAATTGTAAATTGGCTGATCCAACCATGTCATGCTCATAACTGTGCCTGAACTACAACAGGGAATTGCTGCTTTTTCTTTCCTAATCCTTACCATCTACTTCTTTTGTATATTTGTCACACTCTTGTGACCCGCTATTTCCGGGGTGCCTTGATAGTCGAAGCAGACTTTGTGCTGTTGAAGTTAGAGAGGTGAGCAGAGTAAGTCTGATTCCCTGTAAAGACTTCTCTGTTGACATCCACCCCTTGGCGCTCATCTGACCGAATGCAGTTGCGAGTGCCGTAAAACCTCTACTAAGACTAAAATCAAGGCTGCTTGAGGTGTCATTAAGTTCAAGTTGAAGACTCAAACTAATCAAAACAGTCTTTATCAGCAGAATGTGGTAGACTTATTAATATTCGCTTGGAGTTGAGTCACCATGTGGGGATAAACTATACTAGACTGAATTGAGCTACCTTATTGTATTGCATGTTTCTTTCATGGTACAGATGTGGACACAGACACTATGGAAAGGGGCTCATCTCCTGAAAGGTAAATGTACTACTGTAGTAAATAGCGCCTTCTGGGGGGCTGAGTTGTGTGTATCTGTCCCCGTGGTTTTATGCACCCCGCATAATTCTGCAAAATTTGATCATTTTTGTCATAATTTCTGATTATTTTCCTTTATCATTCTTTGTTAAAATTTACAGAGTCGCATAATTTCATATTTTTGGGCCCAGTTTGCATAATTTGAGAATTTTTCTAGCATAAAACGATGGGGACAGATGTATAGATGGGGACACTGTCATAGATTGAGAAATAAGAATGAAGTGTCAATAAAGGTGTTCATGAAAACAGTGCTTTTTCCTAGCTAGCTCTGTCAGAAACTGATGATGATGAACTTGGCAACCATTCCAGTCCCACAAAAGTTTAGGAGATAAAATTACCGCTAGCAAGTACAATTTCTACATTTGTAGGAGTTCTCTCTTGCTCCTGAGACATAAAGTGAGTGTAATGTTGTTTCCCCACTCTTGTTAAGTGTTAAGTAGAAAGTTCATATACACTTTGGACTCTTTTGACTTTTGATACCTTCTGTTTTTCTTCTTTCCACTTTGCTTCCCTTTTCCCTTTTCTCATACATGCAAAAATCCCTTAAAATGCAAAAAGGAAAGGGAAAAAAAAAATGAAACCCCCGAAAGGTATAAGAGACACATAATCTCTGCCATATACTTTTTCAGCAACAAAGTTTAAGATTTTTCTAATATTTTTGCTTCTGTATTTATGCAGGAAAACATATGACTGGACATGTCCCATAAGCGTACCTTTTTTTACCCCCCTGATCAACGGGGTAGTACGGTGTGGTCAGCGAGGAGTGGACACCTGGCCCACATTGTCTCCCACCAAAAAAATCTTAGTGGTCATCACTGTGGTCTTGGTGGTGGGCCTCTTGTTGTTGGTCACCTTACTTCCTGCCAGCTTTGTCTATGTGGAATACTATGAGGTACGGTAAACCATTGCCCTCACCTTTGAAATGCCACATTTGTTAAATTCCTGATGATGGCACTCTTTTTGACCTTTGTTGATTGCTTTTGCCCCGTGAAAATTTTATCTAAATATCTAATAAATGATTAGGAATCCTTCCTGAAAATGAGTGAATGTTTTATATTTTCTGTATTGAATTATTTGAATTACAGTGGAACTCAGTTTCAACAAACTCGGATTCTACGAGTTCAATAAAAATAACTTGGATTCTACGAGTTTAATAAAAATAACTCGGATTCTACGAGTTCAATAAAAATAACTCGGATTCTACGAGTTCAATAAAAATATCTCGGATTCTACGAGTTCAATAAAAACAACTCGGATTCTACGAGTTTAATAAAAATAACTCGGATTCTACGAGTTCAATAAAAATAACTCGGATTCTACGAGTTCAATAAAAATATCTCGGATTCTACGAGTTCAATAAAAACAACTCGGATTCTACGAGTTCAATAAAAATAACTCGGATTCAACTAACACATAAATGAGTGAGCTCAGATTTGATGAAGTCGCTTGCAGGGTGAACTGCTCTATGCAACCAATCAGCGGCCTCCTTTCATACCAACACAAGCGTTATATCACGCACCCATGTTTTATCGTGTTTTGAGTTCGAACGGGCAGCCTGCACACATGTGACTGGGGGGGATTGGGGGGGGAGGGGGGTACGAACGGTCCGGACGTGGAACTTCAGTAGAGAATTAGATGCAACACAATTATTTTTTTCCCTGGCTACTGATCAGTATTACCATGATAAGCTAATCTTGACATAGATCTGCGTAATGAATTGCACACTGGACTGTGGAATCAAACGTTGCCGTATGGCTAGGCTCTACGTGGCAACATAACTTGTTTGGCAAACAATATGTTATAGATGATAGATTACATAGGTATGTCTTTGAACAAATCGGCTCTTTTGCACAGTGTGTGCTTGGTAGAGTTCGGTGCATTTTCCTAGAATTTTCCAGCAATTCTTTGGTATAAAAAAAAAAAGAAAGTACCTCTTATTTGAAACCAAACTACTTTTGATTTAGAAAGTCGAATACATTACTTGCACGTTGCCTGTAATTGTTTACTCAAAAACCTCATATTTACTATAACGAACACTTGGATTCCACGAAATTGAAGGCCAAGCCCGACGACTTCGTTGAATCCGAGTTCCACTGTAATAAAAATTGCTGTTCCTTTTCCCCATCTATGACATCCACTTTCTGACATAACTACAAGTTTTCTGACTTTTCTTTACCTTTAAAGGTAAGGGCAAGTGCTGTACAGTTTAGACTGTAGCAGTGAATCAAATCTGGGTATATTGACATCCAGGTGGCACCCATCAATGCTATTGAGCTTTTGTCTCTTTACCGTTCTTGGTGAAAACACATGTTGACCAGTTCTCCATAATTTATCACATTTGTTATACCAAAAAAAAGAAACTTGCATAAAAATGTATCTTGCTTTCCAGGAACTACCAAATCAGTTTTTGAAAACACTTTTTTAAAAAAAGAAAGAAAAGTAAAACCTGCTTTTATTCTGACTTAGTAGTTGTGGTATTTCTCTTTCCTTTCTCTGCAGTATGCACTAAGCCGCAATCGTGTGACAGGTGTGATAGATTACGACACAGTCTATGACACAGGCTGCTACCTCTTGGCGCCACAGGACGAGTTAATTCGTCTGCCGTCCACTGCACAGCAGGTATGGATGAACCTGGATGTGATGACCAGAGAGAGTCTTGGAGTGGAGCTGCAAATCATGTTGCAGTACTTTATCAAGTAAGGAAAAACCCAGCAGTGAGAATCTGTAGTTCACACAGATGCACTGTATCAAGTAAGAAAAAAAAACCCAATGAAAAGATATACAGTCAAACCTGTGTAAGACGGCCACCCATTGTCAAGGAGAAAAGTGACCGTATAAGACAGGTGGCCGTCTTAGGCAGGACTGATCAAGATGAAGAAAACAAACCATTCCCATCTGAGGTCCCAATCGAAAGTAGCCGCATTGTTGTTGTTTTTGTTGTTGTTGGTGGTGGTGGTGGTGGCGGTTTGTATTTTGTTTGTAATTTTTATTTTGTTGCTGATTTTGCACAAGGGTGACAATAAAATGAAATGTATCAGACGAGGAAGACCGAGTGCCATGTTAAAACAAACACATGGGTCGCCACCACTCATCTCATTTACGATTTGTGTATGAGTTCTGGGCGGGGCTTATGGGTTATGAGGGATCACACGCTTACCTCACCAGCAGCTGAAAATTGGTAGCTATTGGTAAACAGTGGGAGGGGCCTACGCAACATGATCGGTTGGAGGGACTACCTAACAACAATGACAGGTGATTGAATTATGACGGCTTGCCCACAACGCCAGAGGCCAATGCACAATTTATGACAAAACGTACAGGTGTTATTGATTAGTGTGATAGGGTTTGAGTGTTAAAATATGGTGGGCGCGGCCGCGTTGGACAGGTGCCCGTTTTATACAGTTAAATTATATAGAAAAAACGCAAGGGGGGAAATGGAATGTGGCTGTTTGTACAGGTGGCCGTCTTATAGAGGTGGGCGTCTGGGCAGGTTTGGCTGTAGTTCACATTGAGGTACTTTATCAAGTAACAAAAAAGTCCAATGAGAAGTTACTGGCATCTGTGGTATAGTGGTGAGGTCCGTGGCTGCTGCATGCAGAAGAAGTGAGTTTGATTCTTGTGTGGGGAGGTTTTATTATCTATATCTCAGTCTGCTTGCTGGAACTTTGTGTCCCTTTCAGCCCACGTTGGCCATGATAGACAGGGTTTAAGCAGCCTGCCTTCTAAATGATTTGAATTGTGCTGATGAAGGTGTAAAACATCTAGATCTACAATTACTTACCAATGAGAAGCTGCTTGAAACTGAAGGAGACTTGAGCCTTGACTTGAGTCAATTTATTCTTCTCACCTGTTCATTTCTTCTGTATATAGGATATAGGAAAAAAAATTATAATTCTTGGTTTATTGATGCCCTTGAGGAAATTTGGTTTGCAATGGAACACAAACATATATATATCAATACTATGTTCTCCTTAACTTGGCATATATATATATGAAATATACAGTGGAAACCTGATATAACAGGGATTGTGGGAGTAGAGAAAATGTCCTGTTATATCCGATCCCTGTTAAATCAGAAATGCAAAGGAAAGTAAGCATTTGTGGACTAATCCAGCTGTACTTATTCATGGGTAGTTTCCCTTGCCACATGTACCCACGAACAGGGGTTTTGGCACCAATTTTCTCCTTGCCTCCTTAAACCACATCAGAAGAGCTTGGTCCACGACATCTGCATCTGGTAGTCTCTTCTTCTTTCGATCCAGAGCAAACTTTTCATTGTAGTATGTTGCCACTATCTTCTCTCTATCCTTGATAATGGTGTGAATCGAACCTTGTGGAATATCGAACTGACGACAAATCTCTGCCAGTGGAGCTTGTTTTTTGTCAACAGCCTGGATTTTTTCGTATTTTTGTCAATTGAAAGGCATTTTCTCTAGCGCTTGACATCGTTGGTGACACATTATGCGTGCGTGTTGCTAGGTTTCAGGCGAGATCGAGGTCTGCAGCACACCGCAGCCCTCTCTCGCTTCACACACTGCGTGTGCTTGCAGTGGCATGGCTTGCGTGGGCTTGCTCCATCACTGCGTTACTCTCTCTCTCTCCCTCTCTCTCTCTGTGTCTCTCTCCCTCTTTCTTACTTTTTACTCATTGTTAACGAGCCTTTGTCCCTGCTATAACCGGTTGGGCTCCGATGAGGCCCTGTTATTGCCGATAACTTTTAAAAGAGACAAAGAGTAAGAAAAAACGGGGATTTAAAAAATCCCTGTTATTACCGGATCCCTCTTATTACCGGGCCTGTTATATATGGTTTCCACTGTAGTTCAATTAAATTTTAGGGCTTGCATTCCTGTTATTATAGTATAGGAAATGCAATTGTGGTGTTCTGACATTTGAAGGTAAATTGGTTTTCAATTTTTTTACTGTTACAATGTTTGCGTGATATTCTCAGTTCACCTGTCTTTCACTTGCTCTTTCTGTTTCCCTGTATCTTATTTTCTTCCTTTCTTTTTCTGTCTCTTTGTTGACTGAGAGAGAGAGTGACTGGTGGTACTTTTATGACTTCCACTTCTGCCTTTTTGTTGTTATAGTATGTCTACTAAGCTCTCGCTTTCTCTTAATCAATGACTGTCATTATGTCCATGTGGTTTTCTTAAGCTCAACGTTTTTGGGATTCTCGTCTTTTCTCGTATGTGCAATTTCTCTTTCCAAGTCTCTCTTCATCTCTCTCTCTCTCTTTCTCTCCCATTCTCTCTCTCTCTCTGTATCTGTCTACTATCTCTTTGGTTTCTCTCTCTCTCTCTCTCTCTGTGGGTGGTTGATGGGTGCTCTGGTGTTGTTTGCTCCTTACTTCTGATCAAACATCAATTATCCTTATCTTTCCTCCTTTTTTGTGTATGTTACTGTCTTGTAACACATCTATTCTTCGGCACTTATATGACCTGTTGTGTTGCAAGTGCCGTAAAACTCTGAAGAAAAAATCTTTCTCTCTCTTCTCTCCCGCTCTCTCTCTCCCTCCCTCCCTCCCTCTCTCTCTCTCTCTCTCTCTCTCTCTCTCTCTCTCTCTCTCTCTCTCTCTCTCTCTCTCTCTCTCTGTCTCTCTCTTTTTTTCTCTCTCTCTCTCTCTCTCTCTCTCACCTCTCTCTGAATTTCTCTTTTTTTATTGACTCTATAATCATGTTTTCTTCATTTTTGAATGAGAAACAAATTTTCCCGATAGTTTATAGCTTTGTGTACTTTTGATTCTTCCTTTTGTCAGGAGAGAAAAAATGGGACAGCTGTACCGCCAATATGGGATGCTCAACAAGGAGGTGATAGCCAGTGAGATAGAAAGTACTGTGAAGAACACAGTGGTGGATTTCCATTTGGATGAGTTCAGACTGGAAAGGAAGAAGGTGGAGGCCGCTATACGTGATCAGTTGGAAACAGCCCTTGCAGGTATTGAAACTGCACAGTGTAAAGAAATCTCAAATCCTACAGAGTATAGAAGTACAGCCAAACCTTGTTATACTGCCACCCTTGAGACTGGCATGAAGTTGGCTTACGGTTCAATGGGGTTTATCTGTTGTATAGCCCCGACTGCCCAATGTCAAGGGACATGATTCTACTGTGCAATCCGTGTTTAAAAAGTGTCTTTTTCTTGGTGATATACATGTAGGCCTACATGCACATGTAAGCAAACCAGTGGGTGCTGTGTGCCATGTGCTGTGTGTACCTCTGGTGGTCAGTTGGCTGGTGGTATAAATTTGCAATAGTTAACCCCTGCGTTGCCTTATGATGTACCACGTACGTCCGGAAAATGTGTAACTTTTAGCGCTGCGCTGTACCATGTACGTCGCGAAAGTTGTCAAAATTTGTCGATCATCGTTGCAGATTATGATGTTACATATACATTGCGCTAATAACCTTTCTTCAGAAAGTGCTGTGTAGTTTCGTATTCAGGAATAAAAGACATGCCTATTGGTACCAAATTTGCTAGTATTACTTTATTGATAGGCTAGCAAGCGATCGATAAACACAGATTTAGACTTGCGGGTGGTCGCGTGCTCTTGTAAAATGTAAACATCGAATTGACTTTAAAAAGGCAAATAAATTCACTTTTTGTCTTAGATTTACAGGTTATTCGAAAGTATGAGTAAGTTAAGAGGAAATGGGGAATAAGAAAAGTGAGAAAAGTGACAATCGAAGACCTGGTGTCTGAATATGTCACGAGTGCACTAGATCTAGACAGCGTGTCCATTAAAACTGATGTTAGGCTGCTGTTCTGGATAACAAGCTCAGCTGAAAATCAGTTCTGACAGTAGGAATGCATACCCCCTGGCAACGAAAGGGTCAAATAAGGACAATACAACTTGGACAGTTAGCAGAAGGCGAAAATACAATGTTTATATGTGCGTTCCTCTTTGTGCATGGGCAAAATCTGGCTGTAAGTGGGCCTAGCTGTTCAATAGGGGGCTGCACAATGGGGTTTGATTGTATTTTTGAAAAGTTCATTGGAAAATGATTTTAAACCTTGCTCAAAGGAATGTAGGATCTGGACACCATTCATCTCCCCTAAGACCTGATCTCAGTTTATGTAGGCAGGCCTACTTGTTAACCCCACCCCCTCCCCAGCACAGGCATGCACAAATGCAGTCACTAATATTTACGTGAGGTGCATATTCTAATCTACCTTGTATAAGTTTACACTTTTCTATCTTGTCATTTACTCTTAACTTGCTACAGTGGAACTCGGATTCAACTAGCTCGGATTCAACGAGAACTCGGATTCAACGAAAGGAAATGGATTCCCCATTTTTTTCCTTCTATAAAATCAATAAAAATGACCCGAATTTAACGAGCACTTAAATCAGCAAGCTCGGATTCAACAAGGTCGCTTCCAGGATGAACACCCTCCGCAGACGTGGCTTCACTCATTTTTCTCCCACTACGAACTTGATCTCTTCCCGGAAACCACCCATTGCACCAGCATCGTGAACCATTATTCACTTAGCCGATTGGAATGCGACCAATCAGCGGTCTTCTTTCATACCAACAAATGTGTTTTTGGCACGTGCACGTGTCTGCTCTAGCGTGTGACGGGGTCGGATAGGCGGCCTGCACACCTGTGACTATGTGTGGGTGTGGGGATGGGGTGGGGTGGGAGGGGGGGGCATCATCGGTCCGGGTGTGGAACGTCGCAGATACAAATGCGTCACTGTCTTTTTTCCCCCCGGCAGCTGATCAATATTACAATGATAAGCTAGCCTTGACGTAGATCTATGTAATGAATTGTGCGCTGCTCTATGGAATCAAATTTAAAAGTTGCCGTGAACTAGGCTCTACACAGCAACACATATTTTGGCAAACAATCGAGATGACATAGGCGTGCATTTGAACGGATTGGTCTTTTTTTTTTTTTGCACAGCTCATAATATGCTGGCATTTCAGGTACCACTTGTTACTTCTCTTTATACATTACTTGCTCGGTGCCTGTAATTATCTACACAAATCTCATATTTGCTATAACGAACACTCGGATTCAATGAGATTTTTGGTCAGGCCCGGCGACCTCGTTGAATCCGAGTTCCACTGTATTTTGATTAGTAAAGACAGATCATAATAGTGCAGTCGGTTATGAATTCGACCTATATGTGGAAGTGAAAGCAGTTTTTCCAGACTTACACGAGAGAATCTTCCTGTCGTATTTCCTCTCAGTGCTTAGACTGGCAACTTGTCAGACAAGGAGTTGCATAACCTGCCCGTGGGTGGTTTATGGGTGCTCTAATGTGGTTCGCTCCTCCTTTTCTATCAAACATCGATTGTCCCTATCTCTCCTCCTTCTTTTTGGTGTTTGTAACTCTCTTTTAACGTCTCTAATCTTCTGCACTTATATGACCGTTTTATGTTGCAAGTGCGATAAAACTCTAACTAAAATAAAAGTAAAGATTCTCCAGCAATTGCTTAAAAAAAACCCAATATGTTTAGCAGTACCTCACATGTAAGCTGTAATGAAATGATGAATAAATAACAATGTGTTCGATCCCTCAGGCAATTGCTGCAAACCATGCTGTAGTGGCAGCTGCAAGGTCAGCCTGATGTGTAGTGCCCCGTTCTGCCTGCCCCCTGGTCAGTGTACCAAGGGTCATCATGTGGACATGAACTTCTTCCAGCTGGGCAGTGTCAGGATTCCTGATTCTGTCATGGACAGATATGTCAGGAGAGTTGTGCTACAGGTAGGTCTGGGATGGGGGGAGAAGGCTGTATGTGCAAAGTGTAGTTGCACTAGCAGTCAGACTGAGAGAGAGAGAGAGAGAGAGAGAGAGGGAGAGAGGGGGAGAGAGAAAGTGAGAGTGAGAGAGGCTGAGAGAGAGAGAGCGAGAGATTTTGCAGGGAGTGTATGTGTGCACATGTGTGTGTTTTTGAGTGTGTGTGTGTATGTGCATGTGCCACTGTTATATCGAAGCATACTGAGTATGTGAGGGCTTCTGCATGGGAGATCCCCACTCCTTTCCGACTGTAAATATCATATTCATTTTTTAATGGCTAATTACAAACTCTAGCTTAGCGATCCTTTTCTTGGTTTTAGAAAGCTCTTCACCATGTGTGGCCATGAAATATATTGTTGGCTTATAAACAATGTCTGCTTTGCATAAAAGTGATAATTTTCTGTTTTACTTTCTCACTAGATAAATGCTGAACGTGAGTTATTTGTGCAGCAGACAGCAGTAGAAGTGAAGAAGACGGAGCAGGAGGTGAAGAGCCTGCTCAATCGAGGTATAAATTAATTACTCGAGTTATCATTGCCATGTGTGTCTCAGTAGATAGTGCCAAAAGTGTTTTGTGAATGAAGTTAACAGTGTAATATGCAACAGGAGCTTCTGTTTCACAGTGACAGGGATCTGATAGAACAAAAAAATACATCTGGTATTGAAATATCATTATAAAGTCAGTGATGTGCTCACTTTTGTCCTTTATTTTGACACTGTGAAGTGATAATAGCTAAAGTTTCTCTTCAAATTTTTTTTGGTCTTTGTATTTGTTTTACAGGATAAATGTAGTTCTGATAAGTTTGGAGACTTTTAATTTTTGTCAGGGATCAGTTGAATAAGTTTTGCTTGCAAAGGTGGTCAAAGTCTAAAAGGTCCTTTAGTTATTTCAATAATTCTGTGTTTATACCTTTCAAGGTGACAGCAGTAAAGTAGAAAAGAATAGGAGAAGTGGTAAAGACAGCATTAAATTGTGATGTAAGGCATTTTAGTGGGATATTCCACTTGTTATTTTGGTATGCTTGTATATGAAAATCTGACGTCTTTTCCCTTTCTCTTGTCTTACTAGCTAAAGAAGTGCGCCAGGAAGCCGAAGCAAAGCGAATTGTCATCATGGCGACTGCTGAGGCACGGGCCGACCGGGACATACAGTTGGCGTATCAGAAGGCCATGAAAGGTCTTTTTTCTCGACTGAACATCACCAATGAGGAAAATAAGTTGTCCTTCATGTTTGTCAAGACATTGGAGAATATGAAGCATAATGTTTATGCATATAATTCTGATGTTTTGTCTGCGTTTTCACCTTAGAGGTCTAAACACTCTGTACTTGCTTTACACGCTGAGTTCTTTAACTCACTGAAGACTGAGGTCTCGCGAGGCACACTACCCCTGAAGACTGAGGTTTTTTGGGGTATTTTTTTTACATAAGTAAGAGATATTTGTGTTCTTTTAAATAACAAAATTTGAATTCTGTTTCTTTTATTCTTAAAAAAAATGAATTTGTGAAATTTTGGTTTTCTAAAGAATTTTTTAGAGCTTTACCCTTCCCTTTATTCACACCAGATCTACTTACTCTAAGTGGCACCTTTACTAACAAAAATATCACTGTCAGGCCTTTTGCGTCTCTCAGGCACAAATTCTGGGTCATTAGGATCGTTGAGTTCTCTTTCTGATGAACTAGACTCATTGAAAACATAAAAAGTGTTGCTTGGTTTGCTTCGTACACATACTCTCGAAGTCTACTTGGGGGCTGCCATTTTCCCTAGAACTGATGTTTGTAATATCCTGAGTGACATCCCCTAAAAGTTTGTATGTACAAAAAAAAATGCTGCCCCTACTTCCGCGAAACTTTGCACGGAACGAAAGAAATGAATGCACTAGCGCTGACGACGATTCCCGAGGTGCTCTCACGATTTCAAAAAGTGCGAAAAAATGATAAAGTTGGTCCCGTGGGGGTCACTGGAGCCGGTGTCAGAGGGTAACCGGCCAGTCCCGAGAATGTCTCGGGATATGGCGTCGGTGAGTTAACTGATGTCAGGATGGTACAGTGAAGTGGCAAGAATGCTAGCTTCATAATACTAATACAGGGGCTTGAGGTCAAATTTTTACAGAACCCACCAGATTTTATAGATGCAGTTTTTATTTTTGCTTTATGCGGGGAGGTTTAGCTAGAAACATGCGTAAAAAACTTTGATGTTGCCTTCAGGACTATTGATCTGCATTAATAAATTATGTTTATAGCGGGGGCTCTCGTGGCCTAGAGGTTAAGGTGTTGGCCTCTCATTCAAAGGTCCCGGGTTCGAATCCGGGTAGCGACCAAAAAATTTTCTTCTCTAAAATTGTCTCCTTTCACCTCCTTTCCTGCTCTCTAGCAATGTTCTGTTGTCTGCTTTCATTTCCACTTTCTGCCCCCACCCCCTCACCTCCTTTGTCCCCTCCTCTGGGCTCCTGACTCTTTCTGCAGCCTTTCTACTGCTACTCCTTGGCTCCTCCTAACTGCTGTCTTTCTGCCACACCCCTGATCTTCTGGTAGGAAAGATCTACACCTAGCCTTCTCGGACAAGGGCGAAAAATCTCGGAGGGCCCGTGTGCAAGTTGCGCACGTTAAAGATCCCTTGGTGGTCTAAAATCGATAAGAGTAGGCTTCGGCCGCCACCCGGGCAAAATTCAAAATTTCCTACCAACAGAAAAATATTAGGTGTGTCCCGCGCGCTCATAGGACCTATGCTGTTGCGAGCGCCGTAAAACACTTTACAAAAACAAAAAAAATATGTTTATAGCTTGTTCACTTTTGTTTGTCTAAGTTTAAAAAATTGTAGCTCATTTACCTATGCCCACGGAACTTTACATGGCACTTCTGCAAACCAATGACCTGACAAAAATATTTTTTTTTAAAATCTGGATACAGTAATAAAAAGGTTCTTGTGTTTGGCCCCATTACCAAAATCTGCTCTTTGGGTGCATACACAGGATCGCTAAAATATATGATTTACAGTAATCTTGCCTGCAAATTGCTCAGTTTGAGACGGTGACCCCACCCTGCCCCCACATTTCAGTGTAAGCTTGGTAGATTTCATCCCACATTTGTCTAGGCGTCTCCACATGAGTCTTAAAAAGAGCGTTTCTTTGACATACGTTTTGCTATGTTGTTGAGAAGACATGTCACATTTTAAAAATATTTTAGGTGTATGCTGTAAATCCCTTTTAATTTTTTTATTCTCTTTTGGCTAGCATCAAAGAAAACGTGTCAGAACCCTAGTTTGCACTGACCTTTATGAATGGGCTTTAAGATTCTGTTGTTTGTTCATCCAATTTTTAGACCCGTATATAAAGATCTGAGAAGATCAAACAATTCAATTTTACGTTATTTTAACTGCGGTCAGATAAAAGTGAACAAGCCATAACATTACCTGAACAAAGCACTGCTTCTAACCAAAAGAGTGGCAGTGCCCCTCTGGACCTACACTGCTCATGATATTTTCACCCAAGTGCTTTAATATTTTCCTTATTATTGCTCTTCATATGAGATATACTCTTCCCCCCGGGGCAGTGCCACTGACTGAACTGTCTTTAGGCCATTCCCAAAGGGGGGACCTTTCTTGTTCTTAAGCACAGTAGAATTGTAAATGGGCTGATTCAACAATGTCATGCTCATAACTGTGCCTGAACTACAACAGAGAACTGCTGCTTTTTCTTTCCTAACCCTTACTATTGTCATTTTCCCTTACTTCCGCTTGGCGCTCATATGACCTTATGCAGTTGCGAGCACTGTAAAACCTCTACTAAATATATTATAGATATACACTGCTTTTTAGAAAGTCGTTCTGTCTGAATCCTCATGAAATTAGTCTTGACTGTCATATTCTACTGAAGATTTGGCAAAGCCCATTGTGAACTCAATGTCTCTTGTTTTATTTACTCGCAGTGAATTTCAAGAATGGCATGACCATCACTTTTGACAAATAACTTATTGTGTTACATTTTTAACTCACTTGAGCCTGAGCTATTTTTCACCCAATAACCATTGAAGCCTGACAGTTCTATGGTATATTGAATCGTTAATCACTAAAAGACTGAAAGCTATCAAGATTTTTTTTAATGCAACAAAAGAAAGAAAGAAATGCTCTCACAGAAAAAGAAAACTGCATCTAATTTGTCCGAATTGTTTTTATTTTATCAATATTTTAAAAGCACAATGTGTGGGGGTTACGTAATTTTTATTGCGCCCAATTTGTAATGAAATCATCTATCACAATATGGGGTTGACTGATTAAGTCCATTACAGCTAAAAAACTGTCACATATAACTTCACTAAATTTTTTACAAAATGAAACAAGTGGGTCAACTGTTGGCTCGCTGTTTCGAGTAGCTTGTAATGGGAAAAACATTGGAGATATCAGTCGACAAAGTGCATCCCGTAAAAGATATCAATCGATAAAGTGCATCCCGTAAATACACGGGATTCAGCCACCAGGCCAGCGGCGTGTCGAGTAACTACATGAGAATAGGCTCAGGTGAGTAAATTATCTCCCTGTACTTGGAGATAAATTGGTTGGTATCTCGGTGAAATTCTGCTGTGCAATAAGAGTTCTTTAAACAAAGGATTATAGCAAAAGTTAATGTTAGTCATTTGGGCAGTATGTTTGTAGCAGTACAAACCATTGGTGCTGTATATTGGTTGTTGGGTATCTAGTGTTTACCTTTGAATTGCTCGTGCTATTTTTTGTCAACCTGCTCTAAAAGATATTTTGAGCTGAAACTAAGTTTAAGTGGTTTGTTACGAATGAGAAAAAAGTCGATTGTGTTAATCATTGCTTTACTTTGTGACTGCAGTTTTGGAAACATTTTAAGTAGATATGCACCTCATCAAATCATAAGTAGGCCCTACATTTTGTTTGTGTACTGGACTACACAATTTGAATTGCGCTGTGAGAATGACATGATTTTATGATTTTTAGGAAATGTATTGCATCCCTTGACTCAGGAATTATGATAATGATTTTTAAAGAAGTTGATGCGCCGTATAGGCAAAATGTCATTAACGTGATAGCACTGTCACCTTTTTTTATGGAGATTTTATTGAAATATATATGTAAGATGCCAGAATTTTGTATTCATGGTCTTAGAAAAGACATTCTTTTCAATACTTAATTTTTTCATTATAACAGTCTTTACTTATTTTCTCTTTAAATTCGTCTTGATGATGTACTAATGTCTCCTTTAAAAAAATATTTTTAAGCCTTTGATACTATTTTTTATTTAATAATTAATATTTAATCATTATTAATTTTCTTTGAGTTATCACTTTTGCATGGTGTATAAAAATAAAGATAACAAAGTTGCGAGCGCCGAAAAACCTCTACTAAAACTAAAACTAAAACAACTAACAATGATAACTTTATATTATAGAAACTGGCATGTTTCGATGACATTGTTGTTTCTGTTCTGTTATATTGTAAAAAAATCTTGGAGTTGTAATTCTCTACCTCTTCACTGGCAGTTGTGTGGCGTAACTTAGTTTATTTTATTAATTTCTATCTGTGAAAGTTCAGTGCCCTGCTTGTAGAAAATGATAGAGCATGGAAGAAAGAGAAGAATTATTTTCCCATCCACCTTTAAACAGTGAACTCCTACATAGTGATTTATTTTGTTTCCAACTGCTGGCATATGAAAATATTTATTTATTGTGCATGTAGATTCACTTATTTCCTCCCCCTCTTTTGAGGATATACCTAATTTGTATTCTTTCCAACCTCCTTTAGATTGAGTTCCTAGTCTATTGATTAACTGAAGTTTTTTTTACTGATACTGGAATTGTTGAAAGAAGAATGAGTGTGTGTGTGGCCACACAAGAAAACACTTCACATGGGTCCAAATTTGTATAATCTGAGATATGCACATATTCTGATTTTGGACACTTTTCTGCATAATTTCTACCTTATTCTGTGCCAATACCTTCAACAGTTTAAAAGTTATGACCATTTTAATGACATTGGGTATGGAAAACATACAACTGAGGAAATGGCGTGGAAAGTCAAAGATGGCCACATGTTAGATTGAGGGTTGGGTCAAGAAGTGGAAAAAAATAAACATGTTTATACTCAGGTTTGGCCTATGTTTTTATGGAAAAGATAGAAAAGATGCATGAGATAAATTTTCCTACAGAAATTCGATTTCTACCAGATGACTCTTTATTGACTTTAATCGCACACATCTCCGAAACACCCCCAGCAAGAAGTGACAGGTTTTCTTATGCTGCCACACATGAATACACATGTATGAAGAGTGCAAGCTCAAAATGACAAATTTGTATGCGGGTACTTCTCCTACCTCGAACATTAGTGTGTGGTATCTTTGCAAGCCTCTAGGCCTAGCATGACACTGGTTTAAAACAGGGTTGTCAAGTACAGCTATAATTCAGACCCAGACCAACTTCATTGTTATTTTTGCAACTTGAACATTATTATAAGTAAATAAGGTAATGGAATGAAAAAGAAATACTCTGTCAGGAGATAAGTTCTTTTTCCTTGGAGTCTACTGTAGTTTATGTCATCATTAATTTGAATGTTGTTAGAGCTAGATTTTTCCTAATCTTTACATGTCATAGGTTTAATTGTTTCCTTTTTCTGTTTTGCTTCTACTTTAATAAAGTGGGATTGGTTGGACGAGACGGGGGTGGTAGGGAGTGATGTCAGAAATACCATTTTTTACTTATGATGTTACTATTGTTACAGAAGCGACTGTGTTAAAAAAGTATGTATGGTTTTCAGAATCCTGAATGGTAGAACAATATTTTACAACTTCCACTGTTATCTTTGATCTTTTGTTAGGAATAAAGTTCGTGATGCGGGCTCAGTGTTCTGTGATAAGTACTTCTATGTGTATAGACATTTGATCAAGTTGTACAGTTTTTCTCTTTTTATTTTATTCCTT